TATATTCTTGAGTTTTTTAGGAATGTAATTTTTGTTTCAAGACTTATTCTTTTTGGATTATTCAGTAAATTTTAATGTATGTGTTAAATGACGGTTTGTTCAAAATTAATTTATCTAACATGTTTTCGAATAGTTTGATAGTTACATATAAGAAAATGCTAATAGTAAATGTTGTATCATGAACAAAATGTCCTCAAAATTGTGGAATAGGAGACTAGGGCATATCTCCATATAAATAATTCAAAGATTAATGAATGATGGAGTACTTGTGACTCTTGACTTTACTGGCTTTAACACTTGTGTGAACTACATAAAAGGAAAGCACACTAACAAGACAAAGAAAAATGCCAAAAAGAGTTCAAAAATATTTGAAATTATACATACTAATATATGTTGTTCCAATATGGCCTTTTATAGATGACTACTCACTATACATGTATATTTACTTAATCTTCTATTTATAATATAAAAGTTGAACTATATTCTAATACGTCAACACATCACTTTAAAATGAATCTTATATGTTGTCATGTCAGCGAAAAAGTTTGTGTCATTTTGTAATCTTTAAAAAATTTTCCTTATTCTACTATATCTCTATGTATAGAAATAAAAAGCTACAAAACCTAAGTCTCACTCTCCACAATGACATCAATCTTGTCATTGTTGTCGTCTATCTCTACCTCCTCCTCATGTCAGTCCCGTCACTATTGTTTCCTCTCTCCTCCCTCCCCTTCACCTCTACTGATATTAACCTCTTCCTCTTAAGCTCACCTGTCCCAACACTGTCTCTTGCACCAACATCCTCTTCGTTGTCATTTATGACCTATCCTTGCCACATTAAAATCATATTTGTAGCAACCAGAATCGTATCAATATCAAAATGAGGTAATGTTTAACCTTTATTATGATTTCTCTAACCTATGGCTAGAAGAAACAATTTTCACGCAGCTTGAACATATCACTATTACATTTTTACATTTTTACAATTTTCACAGTTTGAACATATCATTGTATTAAATGTGTGAAATTTCATTTTGTTATCTTAACCGTCAATCTATTTATAATATAAATGTTTAGTTACATTTTAATATGTCGATACATCACTTTAAAATAAATCTTATACACTGCCATGTCAGTGAAAAAACTTGTGTCATTTTGTAATCTTTTTTTTATTCTACTATATCCCTATGTATAGAAACTAAAAGCTACAAAATCTAAAAGTCCCAATCTCCACAATGACATCAATCCCGTCATTGTCATTGTCTCTCTCTACCTCCTCCTCACGTCAATCCTGTCACTACTATTGCCTCTCTCCTCCACCGCCTTCATCTCCATTGACATCAATCTCTTTCTCTCGAGCTCGCCTATCCCAACACTATCACTTGCACTAACATCCTCTTCATTGCCATTTATGACCTCCTCACCACATTGAAATCAAATTTGTAGCAACCAGAATTGTATCTATATAAAAAGGAGGTAATGTTTGACCTTCATCATGATTTCTCTAACCTGTACCTAGAAGAAACAATTTTCACACAGCTTGAACATATCACTGTTACATTTTTACTTTTTTACAATTTTCATAGTTTGAATATATCACCGTATTAAATTTATGAAATTTTATTTTGTTATCTTAAGAATTTAAATTCTTTATCACTAATTTGTATTATGACCCATAGAATCAAGGACAAAAGAGATTTCATGTTAACGTGTAGATGATATTGCAATTAATTCCTATTTTTACCGGTTTTGATAACAACATATTTGTTACATTTTCTCTATAATTATTTCTTTCCTTTTTCCAATGTTTCTCCATTTGGTGTAGGTTGGTTATTTGTTACATTTTTACATTTGTTACAATTTTTCATTAATTTATACATGATAATTAACTATTTTATATTAGTATCAAAATTAACATGAAACTATTTAAAAAATAAAAAATTATATATCTCAAGAAATTAGTTAATTTTTATTTACCAAATTAAGTATAATATTTATTATTTTTAAACAATTTTTATTGTGTTAATTTTTCAATTATCGAGTTATTAATCAAATTGGATCTCTTAATTGTAAATCAATATACATTGTAATATAATTATTTCATTTTATTATGACATAATTAACTAAATTAATTTTTTATTAATTAAATAGTTATTACAAATAATTTTATTTTCATCTATTTTAAAGTATGATACGTACACATATAGTTAGATTAACATATCTATTTGGGTATGATTTTTTTTTTTATACAATGCTATAGAAATTAGCTTAATTATAAAGAAACTTAATTTAAATTATAGAGGTAAAATACAATCAAATAATAATATTATAAAAAAAAATTCAATGTTAATAAAAAATATTTTTTATATGTATCAATTTGTATTATGCATAATTTTTTTTATAACAAGAAATCAAATAAATTTATATGATTTGATTTATAATATAAGTATTTTTATGCATAATTTAATGTATTTATTATTTTACATTAATTTTATTCATTTATTATAATTTATGTATAATCATTTAAATTTACATTGAATTAGCTATTATGATGGCTTACATTTAAAATATAATAATAACACTATAAACTATCTTTTTAAAATTAAAAGGAATTTCTATCATTTATGCTTTTTCGCACAGATCAATAAAATACTTGAAAAAAAAAAAACATAATTCTCAAAAAGACAAATTTTGTGATATAATTAATTTATAATTTAAGACTTTTATGCATTGTTTATGCTAATTTTGTATTACTTATACCTACTTATTATATTTCATATACTTTGGTATTTTATTTAAATTTTCATTAAAATAAAAGAGTACCATAATTAATATAGAATGTGTAAGGTTAAAATATATAGTTTTTATTTTTTACATTTGTGTAAATTGAGTCTTTTAATTATAAATTAATTATTAAAATAAAGTTGTATAAAATCAAAATATCTCCAAATTCTCCTGTAATTTGAACCTCAAATTATTGATATCATTTTTTTTAACTTGACAATAATAATTAACTATTGAACTCTGATATTAGTACCAAAATTAATATAAAAGTAAATCAAGTTTTATATATCTCAAACAATTGATTAATCTTTATTTAACAAATTAAGTATTATATTTATTATTTTTAAACATAAGTTTTATTAAGTAATTTTTTTAATAATCGACCTATTAATCAAATAGGTTCTCTTAATCACAAATCAATTATAAATATGTAACATTTAATTATTAAAAATTATAAAAATATTTCTATTAATTATTAAAATTCTAAATAGAAATTACTTAATACATATTTTAATACAATTGTTTCATTTTCAATATGATATAATTGTTTAAATTAATTTTATCAATTAAATAATTATTAAAAATTCTACGTATGATACCTACGCATATAATTAGATTAATAGATGTTGAAATATGATTTTAATTAAAAAATAGCTAGGTTATAGAGAAATCAAATTTGAAAGATAGGATTAAAATACAATCAAATTAGTATATTATAAAAAAAATTAATTTCTTATTTATTTTATATAAATTTGTATTATGCATATCTTTTATATCAGAGAATCAAATCGATTTATCTATTTTGATTTGTAATTTAAGCAATTTTATGCATAATTTATTATATTTATTATTTTACATTAATTTTATTCATTTATTATAACTTATCTATAATCATTTAAATTTATATTAAGTTAGTTGTTACGTTATCCTACATTTAAAATATAATAATAACATCAAATTGTCATTTAAAATTTAAAAGAATTTCCATAATATTTTTTTTCCATATAGAATAAAATATTTGAAAAATAAAAGAAAAATTATATTTCTCAAAAAATTTATATTTGCTATTTCAAACTCTTTACAATTTTATTAAATATAAAATTAAATATAAATTTAATTTTTTAAAAATACATTATATTATTTCCCGTGGAACGCAAAGGTTAATATCTTGTTCATAATAAATATGAAGCTTTGGATGCCTTTAAAATTTTCAAGATAAAAGTAGAGATATAATGTGAAAAACAAATAAAAATTGTGAGAATAGATAGAGGTGGTGAATTTTATGGCAAATATATTAAAAATGGATAAACACATGGTCTTTTTGTAAAGTTTCTTTAAGAGCATGGTATTGTGGCTCACCAAATTAAAATGATGTAGCTGAAAAAAGAAATCAAACCTTAATGGAGATGGTAAGGAGTATGCTTAGCAATTCCAAACTTCCTCTTTCACTATGGAATGAATCACTTAAGACAACAACGTACATATCAAATTGAGTTCTAACTTAAGCGGTCCCTAAAAGCCCTTTTGAATTAATGGAAGGTTGGAAACCAAGTTTGAAACATAAGTATGTTTAGGCACTACAAAAAAATAGGTCATTACTGGCGGTTTCTTTTTTGCGGTTTCCATAAACCGCCAAAAAATGTTACATTTGTGATCAGGATGCCAAACGCTGCAAATTATTGACACTTTCTGGCGGTTTTAAACCGCAGGAATGGTAATTGTTATGTGTTGGCACTTTCTGTCGGTTTTAAACCGCCAGAACGTTCAATAGTTTTTTATTAAAATTAAACTTAAAAAAAATGAAGTCCGATAATAACAGTAAGTACGCAGGGGCCAAAATGGATGCAAGCTACTCCCTTTTGAAAATTTCACAATTTCACTGACAATAGCAAAGATCAGAAAAGAAGAGAAAACAACATGCAAGACCAAGAGGCGAAATTGAAGAAAACCAATTCGGAAGTGTGAAGCTTCGTTTCGTTTAGTTTTCTTCTTCCATTGAATCCCATGGCGAGAGTGAAGCACACGTCAGCTTCTCGCAAGCCTGGTACGTTTCGATTTCAAGTTTTTGCTTTCGATTTTCGCAAAACCCTCATTTCTGCAAACTTAATTTCAGTTAAATTTCAGTTAAGTTTTCGATTTTGGTTTAATTTCGGTTTAAGAACAAAGCACCGCCCGCATCCACCTCCGCAAACTGTCTCTTTCTTTTCGCGTTTCCGATTTTTGAAATCCCTAACAACCTTTGTTTTCTGAATTTCAATACCGCGAATGAATCACATATGAAATATATTATTAAATGGTTTTGGGAAAAATGAAATTTAATAGAACCACAACTTAGAAGATCCAACTCTCTGGCTGATGGCTCTATAGCTGGGTCACAGAATCAGACACAATCTCTGGCTGATTGTGTACACTATTGTGGCTACCATGTTTGCAGCATGCATCCTGTATCCTTTTGTCATCTCTGTCTAGTCTCGAATCGATTGAACTTGTGTTAATATTGTGGATTTTTTAAGCATTTTATTTGTGTACAACTTGACTTTTTATACATATATAGTTGATGTATATGATATATTTCAACTGCTATGCAACTTTCACTATTATCGTGTGATGCTATCTGCTATATGATATATCAGATATTGGCCTTTCACCATTTTCTGCGTGAGATCTCAACACACACTCCTCATGTATATGACTATTTGTTTATTATTGTGAATTTTGAATTTGATTCCGAAGGAAATTACAACCCGCCGATTATACACAAGGACCTGAAATGTGATAATATATTTATCAATGGTCATCAAGGAGAAGTTAAAATTGGAGATTTGGGGCTGACAACTTTCTTGGAGCGAAGTAATGCCAAGAGTGTAATTGGTATGCTCTTTTGTGTCCCTGTACTTTATTTTGCTATACATGTGTGATGTATGAATCTCCCCTGCCCTTTTTCCTTGGTTTTGGCCAGTTGTTCATTTATTTATGTTGTTTGCAACAGAGCCATTGTCTTTAGAGCTAGGGAACCCGTCTATGAAGAGTCAGCTAAAGGCATTAGCATCATACGCGCCCGGCGCACTCATGGTCGCGCCTGGCGTGGCACAACCAGAGGGCTCCAGGGGCCAGCGCGCCCGGCGCAAGCGTGCCTGCGCCCGGCGAGACTTAGTCAGAGAGTCCAAAGCTCTCTCGCGCCTGGCGCAATACCCGATTACGCCCAGCGCAGGCCAGGCAGAGACCTCCCTTAGTCTCGTACCCAGCGCAAACCAAATTGTGCCTAGCGCCCTCGAGGCAGAGATTCCCTAGGAGTCTCATGCTTAGCGCGACAAGGGCCGCGCTCAGCGCAGCACATCAATATCATCATTTAGCTCAATAATCATTCATTACTAACAGCTTAAAACAACATGATCAACACCTAATACGACCCAACCATCTTGTTTACAACTCATCTATCTTGTCAATTTACTCACCCAAACAACAAGAATACACCTAAGCACCTAAAACAACTTTCAACTTAACCAAATCACTAAATGTGAAATGACAACCATCACAGTAAACAGCACATCAGGAGTTATACTACTCCTACCATGCTCATCCTTATCTCATATGAAAGATAATCAAATTTCCTACAACTCCCATGAAGATACCAAGTCTTAATTCCTTCATCTACCATGTTAAAAATGATAAAAACCGCAAAAGCTATAAACAAAGCTAGCAGCTCGACCCCTCTTCACTAAAACAGCCATATCTAGAGTTCTAAAACTCCTTTTTTGGGTGATTCCAGCGCCATTGGAAAGCTAACATCCAAGGCTACAACTTTCATGAAGACTGCAAAGTCAAATTCTGAAAAACCAATGCGCCCGACGCATTAAAAGCGCGCCCGGCGCAAACCTCAACCAGAGACCTATAGAGGTCTATTGCGCCCGGCGTGGTTCTCCCCGCGCCCGGCGCGATTCACCCAGAAATTACCCATTTCTAGTCGCGCCCAGCGCGAAGAACTGCGCCCGGCGCGAATTCAAACGGGAATCCTTACCTACTTCGAAAATTTCATCAAAACCTGCGAAAAATACTAGGAAACCAACATGCAAACCATCCAAAAGTTTACACTTCCATCAAACATCAAGAAAAACAGCTCATTTGCAACATACATCCAAAATCAAGGGAAAATCCCAAAATTTCACCCAACCCTGAAAAACCCCGAAAACTAGTTTTTCTTAAATCTCAGCCAAAGATCAACCACCAACAAACAACAATTGAGTTTCTAAGACACATTCTCAACCAAAAACAGCAAAGTAACTAGCTTCCCTTACCTCGGTGAAGAATCCGAGCTTCGGGATCGCGGAGAATGGAGAAGAAGATGGAGGACGGACGGAGAAAATCAACGGAGAAGAAAGAAAACCCGCGCCTCTGCTAGCTTCCAACACAACTCCTCAGCTCCACCACCTAATGGTTCCAGAGAAAGACCAAAGGCAAAGAGAAGACAAAGAAAAATTTGAGAGTGAATGAGGGAAGGAGAAAAGAGTATGAGAGTGATAGTGTGGAAGAGAAAAGGGAACGGATATGGGGTCTCACACTATTCTCTATAGAGGTGGCCATAAGCACAATTACAGATAGCAGTAATGTAAATTCCACCCCGCTTAAGAGACTTTTTTGAGTAATTAAGTTTCAGCCAAAATATTAATTTGTTCTATCTGCTACGTCACTACAAAAAAATAGGTCATTACTGGCGGTTTCTTTTTTGCGGTTTCCATAAACCGCCAAAAAATGTTACATTTGTGATAAGGATACCAAACGCTGCAAATTATTGACACTTTCTGGCGGTTTTAAACCATAGAAATGGTAATTGTTATATGTTGGCACTTTCTGGCGGTTTAAAACCGCCAGAACGTTCAATAATTTTTTTATTAAAATTAAACTTAAAAAAATGAAGTCCAGTAATAACAGTAAGTATGCAGGGGCCAAAATGGATGCAAGCTGCTCCCTTTTGAAAATTTCACAATTTCACTGACAATAGCAAAGATCAGAAAAGAAGAGAAAACAACATGCAAGAGCAAGAGGCGAAATTGAAGAAAACCAATTCGGAAGTGTGAAGTTTCTTTTTGTTTTCTTCTTCCATTGAATCCCATGGCGAGAGTGAAGCACACATCAGCTTCTCGCAAGCCTGGTACGTTTCAATTTCAAGTTTTTGCTTTCGATTTTTGCAAAACCCTCATTTCTGCAAACTCCTCCTAGGTAGGAAGAACAAAGCACCGCCCGCATCCACCTTCGCAAACTGTCTCTTTCTCTTCGCGTTTCCAATTTTTGAAATCCCTAACGACCTTTGTTTTCTGAATTTCAATACCGCGAATGAATCACATATGAAATATATTATTAAATGGTTTTGGGAAAAATGAAATTTAATAGAACCACAACTTAGAAGATCCAACTCTCTGGCTGATGGCTCTATAGCTAGGTCACAGAATCAGACGCAATCTCTGGCTGATTGTGTACACTATTGTGGCTACCATGTTTGCAACATGCATCCTGTATCCTTTTGTCATCCCTGTCTAGTCTCGAATCGATTGAACTTGTGTTAATATTGTGAATTTTTTAAGCATTTTATTTGTGTACAACTTGACTTTTTATACATATATAGTTGATGTATATGATATATTTCAACTGCTATGCAACTTTCACTGTTATCGTGTGATGCTATCTGCTATATGATATATCAGATATTGGCCTTTCACCATTTTCTGCGTGAGATCTCAACACACACTCCTCATGTATATGACTGTTTGTTTATTATTGTGAATTTTGAATTTGATTCCGAAGGAAATTACAACCCGCAGATTATACACAAGGACCTGAAATGTGATAATATATTTATCAATGGTCATCAAGGAGAAGTTAAAATTGGAGATCTGGGGCTGGCAACTTTCTTGGAGCGAAGTAATGCCAAGAGTGTAATTGGTATGCTCTTTTGTGTCCCTGTACTTTATTTTGCTATACATGTGTGATGTATGAATCTCCCCTGCCCTTTTTCCTTGGTTTTAGCTAGTTGTTCATTTATTTATGTTGTTTGCAACAGAGCCATTATCTTTAGAGCTAGGGAACCCGTCTATGAAGAGTCAGCTAAAGGCATTAGCAGCTGTTGAGGGTAACTGCTTTTTTTTTTCTTCCATATCTTGTACTAATGGATTGATTTTTTCTGTAATATTTTTTAAATGTAAAATTTCAAATCGCTATTTTCTTATGTCATTGAGATGAGCAACTCAAGTTTTTTCTTGATATTGGGCATCATCACCTCCTTATCACCACTATTTTCTTCTGTCAAAGCCTTCCAATTCTATTGTATTTAGTTTAATAATGTTTATAATATAGAAATATTTTACTGAATGGCCTTATACTCCCTTGTCCAGCTACACCATGGAAGAATTTCAATAAAAAGAAAGAGGCTGCCCTTAAGAAAAGGAAAGAGGGAACCCTTCAAGGTGATTAAAATTCACATATTTCTGACATAACTTCAATTAATCTTAAGATGGTATCACTTAGCAGTGTTGAAACCTTTAAGATAAATTTCTGTTAGCATGAGTGATTTATCTGGAATTCGAGTGTTAGCTTACCCAAAGAACTCAATCGAGCATTTCCTGGAAAATCTAGTTCAGAATAAACAGGTCGAAGATCCATAGATAAACAGGGTGAAAGCATAAGGCATGGCGAAAAACACTTCGTGAAGCCTCTGTGCACAAAGATAAATCTCATAGAGATGGCTTGAATGAGGATATTCATGCCATTGAGAAAAAAGCCCCCAGGAATTCCAGGGATGATAATAGAAGTAAACATAACAGTCACTATCCATGGATTCTTATTACCAAAAACAAGGTGAAATGGTTGGTAAATTAAAGGAAGGCTGACAAAGTACACAGTCACACTTCGGAGCATCACCTAAGGACAAAAATAGAATTGGTCTTGATCAATCCCCTGTAACTAATGGGCGAGGTATCCCCAATCACCACCTCAAAAATATAAAAAATTAAAAAACAAAAAAGAAAAAAAAATAAAATATATATATATATAGAAGTTTTTATGATCCTTTTTCAT